CTACTTATTGCAACTGTCCGTAGTTTATGTACTGGTACTTTGGTTTTTCCTATGTCTGTCCCTATTTGTCGCGAGATTCTCGGTGCTGGTGAGTGGTTCATTCCAATCGACTGCTGAAGTAGAGTTCGCTGAATAAATAAAGGACAGGAAGGCTCGTGCACTTCAATAGACTGCCGTTTTAAGAATCGTGGCTCACCCTTTGTGGCACACAGTTGTGACCTATGAGGATTTCAATCGCCTTTAACTTGAAGGCATGGTTGGGAGCCCACTAGTGGAGATTGCTCAATATTCTCCATCAAGAGGAATCTCTCTGTTTCTCTAGAACCACAGCATATCCGGCGAACGACACTAGGCGTTTCCTTTTATAGCAATGTGCTTTCATAACCTCGTATAATGACTTCGTCTAGTGTGCGTACAACCCTATTCCGAGTGGTCTGAGGATGTGCGGGAACGCTCGCGGAAATCGAAGTCCGATACGGTTTGTCCTCAGTTGACAAAGTTGCCAGTGTAGCCATTCCATCTGAGCACTCACAGAAGCTATTGCAATCTAGCAATTTGATGCAAGATGTGTCGGCATCCCTAAGCAATTGCGTTAGATATTATATTTTGAAAGTGTGCTTTAAAATTGTTTCTATGCCACAGGGTTTTGGGCTTTTATCTGCTTCTTCGCTTTCCAAATTACTTGGCCTGTGGTAGTCATCTGCTTAGAAAAACCTAGTGAGGCAGTCAGCTTACTGTGTTAGAATTGGTGGATTGCATGTGTTGCAGTAGGTTTACCGGGTGAATTGATCGAAATTGCTTTAAAATTATTGTCCGGAAGTAAGTCCCCGTTTCTTAGCCCTACACTGTGATTTCCTGGTGTTCGGTAAGTAGACAGCGATTACGGTTGATACGTCACAGAATTCTGCATTATCTAGATGGAGCTATGGGAGGCAATCAAAAATAGAAACGTCCCTTTGAGCCGAATCGTAGGATTTGAGACGCGGGTTCACTTGCACCGTTT